CTAGCAACTCTGCCCATTTGAAAGTTAAAACAAAAGTCCCCTGAGAATGACTTTCTTGATTAGCGATGGTCATCAAACTGTAAATGAGAGAACCAGAGCCACAAATATCATTGCATTTGTTTTATATCACATAATATCTGAAATAATTATCCATAGATTATTCTAGTTCTTACATTACAATATACATTTTTAATACATATCATTTGTGTCTATCTGTAAAGCTTACCCTACTAGGTTGGGTTTTGTTTGTTTTTTGGTGCTAGTCATGAGGTTTTTGAAGTCAGGGCCTTGCACTCTTGCTTGGCTTTTTCATTTAGAGATGGTGCTCTATCACTTAACGGTCAAGTCCTTATGATTTTTCTAAAAGTTTAATCTGCAGTGGAATATTTAATTATAGCTGGGAAAATCCTAAATGCCTTATGAAGGCGATCACAGGACAGTACATACTTAGGCAAAATGCAGACACATCTTTACTGTAATGTACAGGTACCTGCACATACCACAACTTGCCTACTTTAGGCTTCCTATAATATGGCACATATATGCCACCATGCCCAGCTTCTAATGTTGAGATAAGTTTTGAATTTTCTGCTGGATTAGCCCGCAGCCATAATCTTCCCAGTCTTAACAGGCAAGAACCAACAGTGCCCAGCCTATTCACTTTCATCTTCACTGAAATAAAGCCAAATGAACTCTGATAATAGCCTACAGTGCTTAAGAAATATTTCCAGCTTTTATAAATAGCAAGTCACGGGGCTGGGAAGGTGGCTCAGTGGTAGAGTGCTTGCCTTGCATGCCTAAGGCCCTGGGTTCGATTCCCCAGCACCACATAAGCAAAAAGAAAAAAAGCCGGAAGTGGCATTGTGGCTCAAGTGGTAGAGCGCTAGCCTTGAGCTGAAGAACTGAGGGATAGTGCCCAGGCCCAGAGTTCAGGCCCCATGGCTGGACCAAAAAAAAAAAAAAATAGCAAGTCAGTTGTAGATTCATGATAATATCAAGATAGGCAATCGGTCCCTTCACTAAATTTACACTGACACAGCCATATTTCTACCTCCTTTATAATCTGTCATTCTTAAGCACCTCTTTCTTAGATGGCACTGTACAGGTTAACCTCGGTTTCTGCTATCTTAGCAACAAATGGAGCTAACAATAAGGAGGTCTTTGAATTTCAAAATTATTTTAAACCTTATTAAGATCTAAATTAAAAACCTGAAATTACTACAAAATTCTATAGCTCATTCATGCCAAAGAACAAAATGACAACACAGCTTTTGGAAGTAGTTTTTACTATACTATACTATATCATACTATACTACAGTGATCCCTCACCTATCACGGGAGTTATGTTCCAGAGACCCCCATGGTAGGTGCAAGTCCACCAAATAGCAGTGTCATATAGTCATCCCTTGCTATATTGTGGTTAACTTATTGCTACTTCGTGGATTTTCACCTAACACAGGGTTCTCTGGAACATAAATGCTGTGATAAGTGAGGGATAACTATTTACATATTTTTAACCCATGACACAGTGAAGCCCCAATAAGCAAATGCAACATAGTGAGGGACGACTGTATATCCTTCAGAATGATAAGACTTAATTTTATCTACAGCTAGAGAAACACATCACTATTTAACTAACCAGCAATCACATAGAAAAACAAAGCAGAAGTAGAACCTCTGTTCCTGCAATGTTTATATCACTTTCCAGCTATTTTCTTGTGGGAAAGGGCTATGGGAGAAAGGTATGGTGGGAAAGTACAGTCACCTGTTCTACCAAGCAGACAAAGCATGGAACTTGTGCCTAACAATCTGAAGAAATATTGACTAGCCCTTTCTTGTGAATATGCGTGAATATTTTCATCATGCTGAAAGCAACAACAACAAATAAGAACTATGAAATAATGATGAGCATACAGTATTGCCACAAAGCCAGTGTGGGTGGGAGATCAACAATGAGAAAAGGAGAACATAAACCCATGATAGGCTTTAATCTGCAGTCAGGGTATTACAAATGTCTGTGATATAAAACATCTGCAATATACCAAACACCTCTTACTGGCTACCATATCCTTAAGACAGTACCATCTATCCCCTTGTAAACATTAACTGTTCAGCTCTTAAGTTATGTGAGCTCCAATTATATTGAGGTATACGTGTATCTTGTTAATTCTGTGTTGCTAATTCAGGAGTCTAATGTGAGTATAGACTACACTACTTTAAAGAATTATAACTGGAAGAGGATCAGGGTAGAGTAACTCGTACTCCAGCCTAGAAAGGTGATGGCAGGTGCATGTGATGCTACCTACGGAAGATAAGGGATACTAAGCATCTAACATGGATAATAATAATAAAAAAATCTTAGTCTTCTCATTGAAATTAACAGCAAATTGTTTTTTTCCTTCAAATGATATATTATTGTTAAACCTCACAGTACTCTTAAGTATTCTTCATTCTCTAAGTTTGCCAGAAGCCAAGTATTATGGGAAATAACACAGTCCTCAAAAGTATAAATAATGCTTACATGGCATTTTAATAAATTACTAACTCTTTTAGGTTATTTATTTCATTACAAAACCAATGATCAAGTGTTTGGCTCCAAAACCCTAGAAAAGCTACTTAATTCATTCTCCCCTCAAACTTTATTGATAAATAACTGGAGCTGACATTTTTTAAGAATATGCAAATTCAGGCTGGGAAGGTGGCTCAGTGGTACAGCGCTTGCCTTGCATGTCTGAGGCCCTGGGTTCGATTCCTTAGCACCACATAAGCAAAAGGAAAAAAGCCGGAAGTGGTGCTGTGGCTCAAGTGGTAGAGCGCTAGCCTTGAGCTGAAGAACTGAGGGACAGCGCCCAGGCCCAGAGTTCAGGCCCCACGACCGGAACACACCCCAAAAAAGAATATGCAAATTAACTTCTGATAAGCAGCATCTCCAACATCTGTAATCCTCAAGGTTTCACAAATATATGTTCACTAAACTCTCCCTAATTATTGGACGCACTATTTAGCATCCTACTATAACAGAGGAGAATGAAACTCAGGGAAGCAACACTAACTTGCCCAAAGTTCTAGAAGCTAAGATAATAAACTGAGCTCCTATATCCAGGATAGACCTAGATACAATGACTTATGTGCAAATGGAGTGTGAATAAAGCTGATATATGGCCTGTCAGTGATGTAGGGCAGCAATAATCAAAAGATATTTCTTTAAAAGCAAAGATTTCTCAGAATCCTTTCAGGATTATTGCCCCTAGATTTGACCTACTTTTCAAAAAACCAAATGTCTCTTGACCAAATGGAGGTATCCAGAGCTGTTTCTTCCCTCTCTGCCAATTAAGATTTTCCCAAGAAGTACATCTTGATTTGAAATGCAATGTAACATTAAGATCTCCTATTGGCATGAAGTGCTATGGCATTAGAATTTATTTGAATGAATTTTAAATGTCTTGTGAATCAGACAGAGGAATTTCTGTTTGGCATTAGGATTAAATACTAGACAAAGGCCCTTGTAACTTTCGTATGGGAAACAAGGCAAATCTTTGAGCCATATGTCATATGAGAAGTTTAGAAATCAGCTATAATAAATGCCTTCTGTGAGGTCCTTGAAGACAGGCACATTATCTTTATACATCTTTGCAGCCCACACTATCACACCCTTTTGAAACTTATTCATAAGCCTTTCCTGGAGAGGTATCTATAAAGGTTTACCATTAAAATATCTCATGATACTTCAATGTTATAATTTGTAACCAAAAGAATGAACTTCGCAAAACCAAAAGTTCACTCATTGGCTGTGTTTCCTGAACTAAGAGACAAAACTGAATTTGTTCAGAAATAAAATTGTGTCAAACAATGCAATGGTTTAGTATGTGCCAAGTATCCTTCTTGAGAAGAACATGGTGCTCTTGGTGACAACAGAGGACCTTCAATTTCAAAAAGAAAGATAGAAATTTCTTTCTCATCACAAACAGCTGAATCATTCACATAATCAACAGCCCAGCCAGCACAAGCTGTCAGTGCAGGCTCTGCTTTTTGAGAGGTACGAATTAAAAAAAACAAAAAAAGACAATAAGGACGACAGGAAATTCCCCGAAGATGTTGACTTAAAACGTTATCTTTAATCAAACTGGTGGCACTGGTAATAAACCCACCTCTGGCAGAGGAAAAACACAATACTGAGGAAATGAATTCCTTTTATCCAGGGAGTATTTAATAAATGTCTACTGGTCACCAGGGCCCTGGGCCAAGGCCAGAGAGCCATTCCCGGATAGGGAATGGGGGCGGTGGCCTAGCACTCCCCACGGGCAGCCAGGCACCAGGCTGGATCCCTGGACAGCACCCGGCACCCCTCATCCAGCAACACGGGTCTCCTGGAACGCTGTGGACTCCATCCCCACGAAAAGCACAAATCCTACTCGCCAGGCCAAGGGGACCCCACAAGCAAGGTTTAGATCCAGGTGTGGAACCCTTACGATTCTGACAAAGCCAATGCTGGGGGGCAGGAAATGAGGGAGACCTGGGTGTCTCTGGAGGACGGTAGTGGCTGAGCGCCCCTGGGGCCGTTCTGGGAGTCTCTAGGGGAGCTTAGGGGGACTTCTGGAGGTCGCACGGAGGCCGAGGGCTCCTCTAACGAGGTTCGGGGGGCACTCCAGAGAGGTGTGGTGAGGGATCTGGAATGCGCGTGGGGACTGGGAACCCGGAACACTTCCTATGGATGCAGAAGACACTGGGGACCTCGGAGGGTACGTGGGGGGCTCGCAGGCCTCGGGGGCTGTTCTAGAGGACCCCATGGGGGCTCTGGGAGCCCAGGAAGGTCTCTGGAGAACACACGGGGTCCTCAGACACAACCTGGGTGACTCCAGGGTGGCCCTGGGACCTGAGGGCCCCTAGGAGGGTTCAGGGGACCCCGAGGGTGTTCTGGGGACCGTGCAAGGGCAGCGGTTTGGGGGGGGAGTAGGGGGGAGTACGGAGAACCCCCTGGGCACGCACACTGTGGCGCTCACCCGAACAGCCCTCGGAGGAAGGAGTGGGAGGCCTTGACTCGTTTCTCAGCCTCCGCCATCAGCTGTACCGCTTCTCGCTCCTTCCCTGCGTTGTCCATTTTGCCAGCTGCCGCTGTCCACCGCTTCCTCCGCCCGTTGGAGAAGCTCTCGAGTGCCTCGGCCCTCCCGGTGGTGGAAGCGCAGGTGCGGGGCGCGGTGCCTGCTGGGATTTGTAGTCCTACAGGCTATCACGGCCATTTGGATACGAGAGATAACCACTACAACGCCCAGAAGGCTGCTGGGCAGGGCCGGGAGGGGTCTCCGCTCGGACTCCCCAGACTCTGGCGTAGGGGGCGTGGCCCTCTATAGGGGTCTTGGGCTAAGGTGAACTAAGGCTTTTAAGTATCGGAAGTTGGTAAACGACTCTTGGCTTACAATAGCGATCACTCGGAACATGCAGCCTTAAGAATCTTTGTTGCATACGACTGACACATAGCAATGGACCGATGGGGATGTAACAGATTGGAATGCTCAACCTACATGCAAGTCTTTTCTAACAGAATCTAATACAGCCACTGAGAGCAGTTTCATCAACCATGTGAGGCCCTCCCCCACTCTCCAAAATAAGGAGCAACAGCTGGTGGGAAGAGCTATTTTTAATCTCTGGGAGCAAGATGTTTAAGAATGCATCATCTCCCCCAATATAAATTCAAAGTCATTTCTAAATCTCCCCAAGCTGCAACTTTCTGCTGGTCTCTTTTTAGTAGAAGTGAATTGCATGTGTGCCAAACGCACATAATCCACCCTTTTTATTGACTGAATTCTATTAAATAAATGTGAGTCATTGACCTGACTTATCCCTTATATAATACTGGCCACAGGGTGGATCTTCTAGGCCAACATTTTTGTATGCCAGGAAGACTTCAAATCTCTTAAGAGAACTATCCATAGATAGAGGCAGTCCTGTGCCAATGATTTCCAGAGGGAATTGTATTTTTAATACAATGTCTAGACCAGTTGTGGTTGGCAATGCTAACACAGAAGTGATGAAGCAAATACATCACTGCCAAATGAGAACTTATGACAATTTATAACTATTAACAAATACACTGATCAGCAACACAACCCTAAGAAAAAGAAACTTGTTGTTAGAGAACAAGGCCAAAGGGACCAAACTCCTAGAAAGAAAAGTTAGTAAAGCCTCCATTAAAGAGTCCATACATTGTAGGACACTCAAGAAAGAGGAAACCTCAGGGCATTGTGCACTGTTGATGAAAAATTATTGTATATATTTGTACCATTTTAAAAAGCTGATTTGTATTTGTAGAAGTTTGGAGAAAGAAGGGAGGAAATTGAGGGTGACAGTAATGCAGGAAAGAAGAGATGAAAAACTGCAAAAACTGGACATAGACCCTGAAAAGCAAAATAAACTACGGGGATAAGATTGAATGGACCAACTTAAAACTTCTAATTCTATCAAACTTGATGCAATACAGAAGTTCTGTAGGATGTTCAAGAAATACAGATTTCTAGGCCACTAGCCTAGAACTTGGTGTTAGAATCTCCTTGAACTGAGATCTAGGAAGTAGACCTTTAAACCTTCTTTCCTTCTTTCTTTCTTTCTTTCTTTCTTTCTTTCTTTCTTTCTTTCTTTCTTTCTTTCTTTCTTTCTTTCTTTCTTTCTCTTCATTCTTTCTTCCTTTCATGGGGCTTGAAATCTGGGCCTGGGCTCTGTCCCTGAGCTCTTCAGCTCAAGGCGAGCACTCTACCACTTGAGCCACAGTGCCACTTCCAGTTTTCTGGTGGTTAATTGGATTTCCTGCCAGGGCTGGCTTTGAATAGCAATCCTCAGATCTTAGCTTCCTGAGAGCTAGGATTACAGCTGTCAAGATAAGAGTCAAGATAAGAGGAGGAAGCAAAGAAGAGAGCCAAACTTTACAAAATAAGGACTGACTAGATTGAGAGAAGAGGGATCAGAAGTGAAAATAAGAGGAATGACCCCTTAATATGGGCCAGGGATGAAATGGGAGCAACTCAGGTAGGAGCTGCCCTGGAGAAGACGCAGGGATCCATTTACTTACATTACAGCTCTCTAGGATGGCCAAATAGCAACTTTACATTTAAATTCAACACTATTAAATAAAATATAACCTCTATTTCTTAGTCACAGTAACAACATTGCAAATGCTCAATAGCTACACATAGCTAGTGGCTACCATGATGAAGTATACGGATGTAGGACAATCCTGTCATTACACAGAGTCCTAATGGATAACACTGGATTATATTCACCATATGAATTAGTTAGCCTTGTATTACCACAATGGGATGCTTAGGGCAATTTACTTATAAAGAAAAAGAGGATTATTTTAGCTTCCAATTCTTGAGTTTCCACTGTAAGACTGGATGGCCCTAAGGCTTTGATCCTCTTTTGAGAGTGGAATATCATAGTACTAGCACAACCATTCTCATCTTGAGCCAAGAAGTGTATGATGTTGGGGGACAAAGCGGGTATATGGGCTGTGAATTCCACAATCCCATTAAGAATGTAATTCCAGTGAGCTAAAGATCTCCCACTAGGACCTAATTCCTAAGGTTATGTATAACTTATGCAAATAGTACAACCCTGAGGACCAAGCACATAACACCAGGACCTTTGGAGGACACTGATCTGAATCATATCAACTTGCCTTTCAGGGGCTCTGAGAACTTACTAAAAAAAGAGGGAAATGATTCCAGGCATGTTTTTAGAAGGTAGATTGTGAGTGTTATGGACTTCACTCTGAAATAAGGCCTGGGTCAAACAGATTGCTGGCCTTTCTCTAACAGAAAATCCAGAGGACACATGGACACCCAAACCAATCAGTATATCAGAGTCTACACTAGAAAATTAAGTGTTCGCCTGCCTATCAGAGAGAAAGGCACAAAGGCAGGGCTGAAGCCCCATGAGATTTCTCAGCTCTAAGACAGGCAGAATCAGAAAATGACCTTGTGATAAGAAGGTATGGCCTTCTGCATGTTTTCCTAGAAGGGGAGGGAGAATGTTAGATCAAATAGGATCACCTTTTTTATAACCTGCTCTCAAAAGTAATGGAGCATCACTTTTCCACATGGAAGCAAAGAGATAAAGCTCATTCATTCATGGGGAAGGGTGCCACGTCTTGATGGGAGAGTCTCAGTAGATTTGAAGACAGTTTATAACCACCACTAACGTTAGGTTAGAAGTGATTCCACACTCTGGTCCATTCTGGTTACCCTGAACAAGTTGTGATACTAGAGGCTCTAGGCTGAGGAGAAACTCTGCCTCACATGGTCCTGAAGCCATGAGGGTCCTGCCTAGGATTTCAGCTGCCCTCTTACAGGACATTCCAGCCTCAGTTCTGCCTTTAAGGGTCAGGGTGGTTCAGAGGCACTGGATAGAGCAGTCCACTTCTAAAGCAATGTGCTCTACCTTAGAAGGAGGGGACCAATGGAGACATTCCAGAAATCTCTTCACAAAATCATTAAGCAATGTAGTAATGAAAACAAATATCCTTCATTCCTGTGAATAAAGTTGTGCACCTTTAGGACCAGAATTTAATTGCTCTATTTATAGCAATTCTTTTCAATTTCCTCATGGACTTTCTAAACCCAAGTACATTTTCCTTTTAGCAATACTGCAATTTGAACTCAAGACGTCTACTTGCAAGGTATGATTTGAGTTGTACCCCAGCCTTTTGAAACCCAAGAGCATTTGATCAGTAAATTTCAGAGAAATAATTAGTTGTATGTTTGTTTCCCCCATTGGAGACTGTGATGAACTCACTATCTGATGCTTTATACTCATTGGCAGGCTTCCTACCACCTGAGCCATACCTCCAAGCCCTAGTTATGTCATATATATGTATATATATATATGTATATGTATATGCATATACATATACATTTCAAAACAGCATTAGTTTATGGAGGGAGTTCCATTTCATACCACATTAAAGTTGCTACAAATATTCTCAAATATGGCTTTTGAAAATACAATCTAATATTTTCTTAAGAAAATGCTCTTTAAAATTTTGATAAAAGTTAGAAAAGAAAGAATTGACATGACTATCTGCTTGGGGAAAATATTAAATAGTAAAATTACTAAATATGAGAAAATATATATTACTTATATTAGGGTCACTAGTTAATGTAACTTTTTCACTAGACAGTTAGAAAATGTATAGAAACTTTTGTTGTTGTTGTTGGTCGTGGGGCTTGAACTCTGGGCTTGAGTGCTGTCCTTCAGCTGTTCAGCTCAAGGCCAGTACTATACTGCTTGAGCCACAGTGCCACTTCTGGTTTTCTGGTGGTTAATTGGAGATAAGAGACTCATGGACTTTCCTGCCCTGGCTGGCTTTGAATTGTGGCCCTCAGATCTCAGTCTCTGGAGTAGCTAGGGTTACAGGTGTGAGCCACTGACACCTGGCCTAGAAACTGTCTTAATTAACTTAGTACTTTAAATTTCAGCAAGTGGACAAGCGACACAGTTGAAACTCAGACCTTTCTCATCTGTGCTTAAGATAGATCTATCAAAGTCATGGTTTTGTGCTTGAAACATAATTGTTGAGAGAAATAGATGATTTCTTTCTTTCATGCCCTTTAATTCCTTTTCACAAATTACTATGCAATGAATATAATTCAAAGACATTTTGGGAATAAGATATTCTCTCATAATTTAACATGTGTAACAAAACTTTTATTTTTAATATATACATGTCTCTATCTAATCAAACTTTCAAATGCAAAGATGTGCTTGGGGAACAGGTTTGTAGTTTGCATTTTTGTTTGTTTATGAAACATGTTTCTATTTTTGTAACTACAGTTGTGTGCTATATAATGACTTGAAGTTTGGATTTGGAATGACTCCTGAAAGTCCATGTATAAAAAAGGCTATTCTGGTGGCTCACACCTGTAATGCTAGCTACTCAGGAGGCTGAAATCTGAGGATTGTGGTTTGAAGCCAGCCAACACAGGAAAGTCCAATTAACCACCAAAAAAACCAGAAGTAAAGCTGTGGCCCAAATAGTAGAGAGCTAGAGTACATAAGCTTAAGGACAGCGCCCAGGCCCTGATTTTAAACCCTAGGACTGCACCAAAAAATAAAAT